AGGAAGAGCAGTTTCAACATTGCGCTTGATGTCTACTTGACAACTTGGAAACTACAATAATTCCAAACTGCGCAGTCAATTAAAGGAATGCTTTTTATTGTCGCTTTACCAGAAGTGGTCACTGATATCCTGTGATTAATCAAGAAGAAGGCTAGCATGGGGATCATTCCCTTCCTTCATCTCCTTGCTATTTCAGTTTCTTTCTGTCACAAGCTGTGTGCAGCAATATTTATTTTCATTAGGAAGAGGTAATACAGACAAAAGTAATTTGTAATAGGTGTATTCAGTAAGAAACCAAATTGCACAGCATGATCTCACACTGTCAACCAAAAACAGCTTCACTAGAGCATGTAATTTTGTATGTCTAACAAGTTATTTCTTGAGACATGCCCATGTCCCATCCCAGGGCTATGAGATAAGCCTTGCTTTCAGTAGAAGTACAACAGAGTTCAATGACAAGCACTTTCTCTTTTCATTTTTTTTTTTTTAGAGATATTTTTGTGATAGTGTGTGTGCACTTGCTGGAGAGACAGAGAGACAGAAAGCGAGAAATCACCCCCCAGGGGGATGGCCACACTGCAATCCCTTCTCCTCTGGGGATCTTGAGCACGGACACCCAGTGTGAGTTTCAAGCTGCTGGGTCCAGGACTCAAACCATGGTCAACTACGTGGGAGTCCAGCGACATAACCATTATACTGTCTGCTGGTCCCAGCACTTTCCATTAAGATGGGTGAGCCTATACCACTGGGATCCACTGGGCCCCTTCTCTCCTTGTCAGTCACTATTTCAGAGCAAATGTAGACCTTGATAATCTGAGTTTACGTGATGAAGAATTCATGGGTGGTGGTGATGATGATTCAATAGTGAATATTTACTAAATATTTATTTGCACAGACTCTATGACAAATATCTATAATGTATTATTTGGTTTCAGCCTCATAACAACTGTGAGAGTGTGGTGTTATTATTAGCCTCATAACAACTGTGAGAGTGTGGTGTTACAATCCCAATTTACACACAAGAAAACTGAGGCTTAGAGACTTGCCAGGGTCACATAGCCTAAAAGACTGAAGACTGAAATTTCTAACCAAATCTGTCAGAAGCCAAACCCCATTGACTTGATTCATTATGTATCTTGTCATAACAAATCGTTTTTTTGTGTGACCTGCAGCCACAGTTTGTACAAAATTAAAGCTGATTTCATTGATGTCTGCTACAGTAAATCTACATGTTTTCTAATAAAAAAATCAAGTCTCCCATTGAAAAATGGGAAAAGGACATAAACAGTCAAATAAATTTATTTTTAAAAAGAGGAAAGATTGGGACCAGCAGGTGGCATAGCAGTTATGTTGTTGAATTCCCACATGGCTGATCACGATTCAAGTCCCAGACCCAGTGGCTTCAAACTCACACTGGGTACATGTGCATGTGTGCCCAAGATCCCGGGAGGAGAACGGCGGAGAAGGGATTGCAGTGTGACCGTCCCCCTGGGGGGTGATTTCTCACTTTCTGTATTTCTGGTGAGTGCCTGTGTCCTATAACAAAAATCTCTCTCTCTCAAAAAAAAAAAAAAGGAGGAAAGATAAAATTTCAAGTGCTCAAAACTAAAACAAATTCAATTCAACTCACAAAGCAGGGACTGAGGGACGTGATATCCAAGGCAGTGCAAGAATTCAAAGATGAATGTGGCATCATCTCTGTCTCTGAAAAGCCAGTGATCTAATGGGAGGCCACTGTAATATTTCAGGTCTTACCTCAATGTCACCTCTGCAGACCACCCTATCTATTCTGTGACCTCATCCTCTGTACTCTTGATCAAACAGGTCAGCAAACTTTTTCTGCAGAGGTAAAATGAGGTAGGCTTTGCAGGCCACATAAACTCTGTGAAAATACCCAATTCTGCTACTATAGCCAGAAAGCAGCTATAGATCAGATATGAACATATGAGACCAGACAGTGGCAATGGTGGTTAAGGCAGTTGATCCCACACAGCCAACTATGTGGTTAGAATCTTGGACTTGGCGGCTTTGAAAGCATGCCAGATGCGTATGTGTGCATGCCCAAAATCCCTAACCACCCCCCGCCAACAGGGGCTATTTTCTCACCTATTTTCTCTCTTTCTTTCTCTTCTCTCTTGGGCAAACACACATGCCCTCTAGCAAATTAATTTTTTTTTAAACTACAAATGAACAAAGCTATGGTCCAACAAAATTTTATTTACAAAATAGGCAGATACCAGATGTGGTTCACAGCCTGTCATATGTCAGTCTCAGTTCTAACATACCACTCTATTTTTTTTCCTTCATAGAACTTAACATACTCTGAAAAGATCTTGCTTAATGACTTGTTTACTACTTCTCTCCACTAAAATGCCAGTTCCACTGGAGTGGGGTCCCTGTGCTTATTTACTGCTAGCTTTCCAGGGCTTAGAAGGGATTGCCTGACAGACAGTTCCTTTACATATTTGTTGACAAACTAAATGATGAATACCATTTCACAAAAGGAGAAAATAAAATTGCCAAAAAACCACATGTACTATTTTTGGCCATATTAGTTCTAAAAATAAATAATGATATGTTATTTTTCACTTGTCTGACTTACAACCATTAAAAGAAAAAGCAGGAGGGAACAGAGGAGGAGAACTGGTTTAAATGAGTATCGGGTAAACTGGTCCTCTCATTTACCACTGATAGGATATTGATGCAACATTTCTGGAGAGTCATTTGAAGTTATATATCAAAACACACATACCAATTTGAAAATGGGCAAAGGATTGAATAGACGTTTCTTTTTTTTAATGTTTATTTATTCATTCATTTATTTTAGTTTGACCAGAGGGAAAAACAAAGAAAGAGAGAGGAAAAGTAAGAAAGCAAGCCACCAGGTCCAGACATTGAACCATGTTCAGCCATGTGGGAGTGTCCAGCACTTTAACCACCATGCCACCTGCTAGTCCCCAAATAGATTTTTTTTTTTTTTTTGAGAGGTTTTCGTTATAGGGCATATGCGCTCGCCAGACAGACAGAGACATAGAGACAGAAAGCGAGAAATCACCTCCCAGAGGGGATGGTCACGCCGCAATCCCTTCTCCTCCATTCTCCTCTCGGGATCTTGGGCACGCATGCACACGTGCCCAGCGTGAGTTTTAAGCCACCGGGTCCAGGACGCGAACCACAGTCGACTACGTGGGAGTCCAGCAACATAGCCATTACGCTAACTGCTGGTTCCCAAATAGATATTTCTTTAAAGAAGATATACAAATGGACAATAAGCACATTAAACATTGCTCAGCATCATTCATCATTAGGAAAATGCAATCAAAACCACAATGAGATGCCACTTTATACCCATTAATATGAGTTTTATTCTGAAAAGAAAAAGAAAAAATAATAAGTGTTGCTTAAATGTGGAGAATGGAATTGTTGGACATTGTCGGTGGGAGTATAAGATTGTATACTTGCTGAAGAAAACAGTTTGGAAGCTTGTCAAAAAGATAAGCATAGAATTACCACACAATCCAGCAATTCTGCTCCTGGATATAGAACCTGAAGAACTGAAAGCAAGGACTTGAACAGGTACTTGCATACCCATGTTTATAACAATACTATATCTAAGAATTTAAAGGTAAAAACAACCCTAGTGCTCATTAACAGATAAGTAGGCAAACAATTATTGTGTTTATAATTATGTATATATAATATTATCCTAATTATATATATAATTATTAGAATACTATTCTAAATATGTAGTATTACATAGATTATTATTCAGTCTTTTTTTTAAGAGAGATTTTTGCTACAAGGCATGTGCACTCACTGGGAAGAAAGAGACAGAGAGACAGAAAGCCCCACTCCAGGGTGATGGCCATGCTGTAGTCCCCTCTTTTCTATTCTCTCAGGACTTTGGGCATGCAAGCACACACACCCAGTGTGAGTTTTAAGCCTCCCAGTCCAGGATTTGAACCATGGTCAACAACATCCAGTGATGTAACTATTACATCATCTGCTGGTCCCAGAGTGTTATACAGTCTTAAAAAGGAGTAAAATACTGATGCTACAACATGGGTAATTTTGAAGACATTATGCTAAATTAAATAAGCCAGACACAAATGGATGAACATTGTATAATTCCACTTAAAGGAGGTACCTAGAATAGGGAAATTCTTAGAGAGTCAAATAGAGGTTACCAGGAGCTGGGGGTGGGGTAGGTGGTAGGAGGAGTTACTCTTCAATGGGTATAAAATTTCTGATGGGATGATAAAAAGGTTCTGGAGACAGATGATGGCAATGGTTGCACAAAACCATGAGTAGACATAATGGCCCCGAACTGTACACTTAAATATGGTTAAAATGGCAAATTGAGTATTATGGAGAATATACAGTGAGAATGTATATACTGTGTATCTTTTCACTCCAAAATCCAACTCCTAAGAATTAGCTCTGAAGGATAACATAGGAGTAAGGAATAACGTAGAAATATGTGCCTACCCCAGTCAATCAATTTGACCCATCGATAAAGATTTAGCTATGTAAATAGTGTCTGGAACAATAAATACATAAAGAGTCTATTAGGCAGGCAGTAAATATGACAAAGCAGACTTTTCACATCAAAAGACTCCATGATATTTTTGTTCAATAAAAAAGCAAGTTACAGAATGCATGTAAAATATAATCGCATTGATGTACAAATCCAAGTTTATCTATACAAGGGGAAAATTCTAGATAGTCTCCAAATGTTCATAGGAGTTATTCTCTGAATAATAGATTTGAAGTGATTTTAAAAGGACCTTCTTCATAATTTTCTGAAGTTGTTGAATTGTTTCTACAAAGAATATTTTTAACCAAAATGATATCCTATTATAAACTCATGTTTATCACTTTTTCACATTAATTACAGAGGGTAAGGCCCTTGATACTTATAATTAGATTGTTTCTGCGTTTCCATAGTAATAATCGTACTTATGAGTGAATCAAATACATCTTTAAAGAGAGATACATACCTCAGATAGCGGCGTGAGCTCTCTATCATTCAAAAACAAAGCTATTATTTCAGAGCAACACTCAATAATCATGTTCTGGAAAAAAGAAGAAGGCAATATAGTGAGGCTGATACTTTTGGTAAAATATTATTTATTTAATTACAAACTGTTCATTTGTCTTTTCTCACATCATTGCCTAATCCTAGTTCCTAGGATGAGACAGAGGGCCTTAGAAATCACAATACCTTAAGCAATTTGGGTAACTGGAAAAGATACAGAATGTCTATAAATATATAAGATCTGCAATTAATTGTGAATAATATGTTATTTTAGGATTCTTTCATATTCACTGTTAAAATTCATATGTTACAGAGGAATAATAAGTAACCTATCTCCCCAAGGCAAACTTGAAAAATTACTTTTCTTCTGAGAAGTGAGTCCAATATTAAAGAGACACAAATCCCTGAAAGGGGTTTGAGCAGAAATGAATGACTGGAAACTGGGGAGAAATAATAGGAAAAGTGAATGAAAAACAAGGGAGAGGATCAACTGTACGAACACATTGCCTACTGTCAAGGACACTGCCACAGCCCCTCCGATGGACATAGCTATTACGTGTACACATCTAGTCTAAGAGGGGCCTACCCAGAGGCAGGGTTGAAAGAACTCCCTATCGTTATGATTTCACACAAGGAAGAACAACAGAGGAGAACTGCAGTGAGTACCTGCCCTATGAGCACAAAGGAGGGACAGTCATGGGCCAGATGTGAGGAACCAGAGCTGATGAGAGTTCACATGCCCTGTGGCTCCTGACCCTACAGTCACATTTTCCATAAGGCCCACTGGGTAGTGTTCTTGGTTGTTGGCAATGTTATCACATTCTGATAAACACTGTGTCCCTAAAATCTGATTTATTTGTACAAGTATTTAGTTTTGTCCTTCCTTACAACTAAAAAAGCTGTGACTACTAGACTGTCAGATATAAACTATGCCTACTTCACAATGTTGTCAGCATCCAGCCCTGAAGGAAGCAACAATTCGTTTTTATGATAGTATTAATACATATATATACTAGTATTCAGAATATTAAAATGATAAAAATGCATTAATTTTTATACTATAATTGGGCAATAATGGTTAAAATAAAGATGCAAACAACAATTGAACTCTCACCTCCAAATCTTGTTATAGCTTTTAATAAATGCATAAACATGGAAAACATGAAATTTTAGAGTTCTCAAACTATAGCTAATTCAATTCAACAAACATAGTCAAGATATTATGTTTGGTGTTTTTGGGTCCAGATGGTGACTCAGAAGTACTCCAGCACTCTGTGAGACTGACCAACATGGGAGGGTTCTCAGTTTGTGTCCAGAGAACTTCTTGAATATGGTGGGTACAAGAATTCTTCTCAGGACCTAGGGCTGTCTGAGGCTGGAGGTAGAATACAGTATGGGGACTATGTAGAGGGAACCTATCTCTCTCTCTCTCTAAAAAAATAAATAAACTCATGTGTGTGTGTGTGCATGCGTGTGTGTGTGTGTAGCAGACATACAATGAAGAAATAGACCCTCTTCTCAAGAAATTTAACAATTATTAAAAATAGATTCATAAACAAGTAAAATATCAGGTAGAATGTAGTCAGAACACAGGTAGTTACATGTTATAGGACCCTAGAGCTGGGAGAGAATCATTCCTAATATTATGCAAAATATGGACGACTTCTTGAGGAAGGGACATATGAACTGAGCCTTGAAAGAATAGTGAGATTTCCTAGTGGGTAGAAAGTGGGGATAATGGCATTTATGGGGAGAGAGCCCAGCAAGCAATGAGCAGTTGGCATTCAAGAAACATAGGAAACTGACGTGGCCTTTACGTAGACATGTATAGGAAGCATGGCAGTGAGAGTGGTAGAAACAGACTGGAGAGGTAAATGTATAACAGGTCATATAACAGTAAGGAGTTTGGATTTTATTATGTAGGACATTGACTGGACTAGGGAACAACGATGGCGATTGCTTCAGAAAGGTCATTCTGATCACAGTTTAAAGGTGAACTGGACTGGAAAGAAGCAAAAGAGAAATCAGCTCCAGTTTTTCATGAACAGAACAGGAAATGACCATGGCGAAAGTAAGCCAACTTCAATGGGACAAAGAAAAATGGAGGTCAGGTGGGACACTCACCCAGCCTCCTGGCCACTGGACTTCTTTTCCCGACAAAGGGGAAGGTGTATCCACTCCTACTGTCCTCTTATTTAATCTATATTTCTGTATTTCTAATAGAGTTCCTAGGACTGGCTAAAGTATGTTTTCTCTCTACGTAAAAGGTTTCAATAACAGCCATGATGAGTTAATGTCATGATTTCATCAAGAGCTATCAAGCAAAATGACACTGTCTAGGTCATTAATCATTTCATATAACAGATGAAGAGAGCAATGTTACCTGATAAATTCCTTCCACTGCCTGTCTCAACATTTATCAAACAGAAACTTCACCTCAACAACATTCTATTACTCTGGCATTATTTGAAGTAAACCACATACACACATTCTGAAATTGGTTCACTCGAAGTTGGGGCTATGAGCACCTCATGTGACCTTCCTACCACAGAAATGAAGGCAGGGAGGACACAGAGCTCATCCATCCTAGTCACAAAATGGCTGAAGGCAAGCTGCAGTGGGCGAGGGGGCAGGAGAGCACAGAGTGACCCTTGCACAATCTTGGCTGTTTCTCCCTTAAAAGAAACGTGTTAATTCTATGAGTGATGGACTTCTGAGTAACTTGCAGACATTAAAGCCCATTTTTGGACACAATTAAAGTCCTCATCATCTTTCACCTGTAACATGGGAAAAAACAAACAAACAGATAAACAAACAAACAAAAACTTTCTTAATTGTTTTCTAGCCTTCAGACCCTGAAGGGGTTTCCCGCACATGTCACCATGATTGTGGTTTCAGCAAATTGTGGGGTGGATCGTGGGATGCCCTTTCGGGTGAGAGCTGTCCCCATCTCTTTCCAACCTCCCCCTCAAAAACGCCCTTTTCCCACAACTCTTTCCTACAGAACAAAGGGCACCATTTACTTGCTCAAAATCTATTGGATGCCTCTTGTACACCACGGAGTGATTGCAGGAGATGAACAAGACACGAAGAAAGCTCTGAAGCTCATGGTGTAGGAATAGGAGAGTGGTGATTAGAGAGCAGGAAGCACTTAATTCCACCCATCTCAGTCCCATGTCCCTCTGCATTCACCTTGTACAGCCACAACAGATGTCTTATCGTCATCTGTAAATAAGACACAGTTCCACGACTTCATATTTCATCTCTCGCTGTATTCGTTCCTCTATCTGGAATGAGTTCTCTCCCTAGGTACCCAACTAGAATTTGCACAAACAAGTATTAAAGAGGCATTATGTTTCAGATACCGGGCTAGATAATCAAGATACAAAGATGCATAAGATCCCTGAGCAAAAAACAAACAAACAAAAAACAAAAACCATAGTCAAGAGAGAGGAAGAGGCATAGAAAGAGCTAACTGCCAAAATAATATATGAAAGGCACAGGGTATTTTGGTTGTGAGGAAAATTGACCTTTCTGTCAGTCTCTAAGGTCTATAACATCCTGCATATACCATTTAAGTGAGTAAATAGCTATTATCTATACCTGAGCTTTTTTTTTTTTTTTTCAATTTACTAGAGAGTGCCTGCACTTGCTATGGGGAGGGAGGAGTGGAGAAAGTGTGAAAGCACCTTCCATGGGGAATGGTCAGGCCACTACCCCTTTTCGAAACTCTCTTTCTCCTCTTGGGATGTTGGACATGCACATACATGTGCTGAGCATGTCTTTCCAGACTCCAAATCTAGAACTCCAGAGTCAGCCATATGGGATCCGGATGCCTTAACTACCACACCACCAGTTGGCCCTACCGAGGTTATTAAGGCAAGTTGTCTAGTTCAATTTTCTTTCTCTCTCAGCATACACATATGTACATATATGCCTGGTCTATGTACATGAGATTTAAACATAATAAATTATAATAGTTTGCATTAACAGCCCTGCCATCGAGCAGGAAGGATTTTGGCAACATTACCCTTCTATACAATGCAGAATTTAGATAACTGAGAAATAGGAAAACTGGAATAAGTCTGAGACACTAAGTTGAACTACATAATAAAGAGCTGAGCTTGAGTGGGAAAGAAAGAAGACACAAGACACCTTTACGTCTGAGTTGGAGAGAAATTTTTTAAAGTTTAAACCAAATGAGACAGATGTTGGCCACCTGTTGTGGGTGCTAGAGAGCTACAAGAACGAAAGAGTTGGGGAAAAGGCTGAAAAGTTTGTTTTACTTTATGAAAGAACTCGGCCTTCGATATTCCTCTGAGGGACTCCATAAAAATTTCCATTATGTTCAGTGGTTGTGAATATCAGATAGATGTTCTTTGAATGTCACCCTTTGATAAGAGAGGGCTCCTAGGCAGATGGCTGATTATGAATGACCTCTAGATACCTATGGTCGCTCTCATGTAATTAAGCTCCTCCATGATGGTGGCTTGGTTGTATTGATTTCTCTCTGCCCTCCCTATCTCTCTGAGCCTGGAGTACTTTTGCACATAATAGTCTCTCAGACAGAACTTGTTAATTATGGTTAATATTCCAATGTATTTTCTTAATATTTTCATGGCACTCACTAATTTTAATTACCTTGTACAGTACGAGCATCCTATGAATGCTTGCTGCACTAACTTTACATGACTTAGCAAACATGATTTAAGTTTTCCGTATCTATCATTCCAAAATAGGTGTTGCATCTTAAAATCAGGATGGTTTGCATATCTCATATCCTGATATTTTCTGCCCATCCCCTCAGGCTGTGAATGACAGGGTAAAATAACTTAGTCATTCTGATTTCATTTTAGAAGGACATACTAGGATTTTAAGCCAGAAGTGATTGGAACATTGTCTGCAGTTGTCTCAGTTCATCTTAAATTAATATTTGTGTTCTAGAGCTCTTGGCTTATTCTGGACCCTAAAGATTTGGAAAAAAAAAAAAAAAAAAAAGGAAAAGGCAAAAACAAGGGAAGATGAGGGTGTGACAAA